CACTTTACATTTCTCTTTAAATATTTACACACGAGAAAATGTTAAATTTATTTTTCATTCCAGGCTCGTTCAAGTAAAATAATTATGAAAATAAATTCACGAAATATTGGTTATAATTAAAATTCGGAAAAAAATAATATAATTTCACATATTCACTTTTATAATCACTTAACGAGAAATTTTACACTCACAAGAAAGAGAGAACGAATAAACTTTCAACGCTGGAAAATTAAATTTAATTATACATCAAATTTATTTTATTTATTTTCATTTATCAAAATGATAAAATTGTTAAAAATAACAAAAATTGAAAAAAAGTTTATAATTAAAAATATATTTTAATTACTTTATTTTCAAGTATAAAAAATAAGGAAAAATATCTCTAAAACTTTTTTTCGCATTGAAAAAGTGGGAATTTCCTTTTTGTGTGTGTGTGAAAAATTAAAAGCGTTAGAAAGAAATAAAGTGGCCTTAAAAGTTAAAAGAAAGCTCACGCCACACCATAAGAAACAAGAAAAAAGTAATAATGGAAAACTGTAAATTTTCTCGACGTTTACAAAAGAAAGAAATATTTCATGAAAGCCTTTGCCATTTTCATTCTCGACTCAAGAAAATTGAAACAATATAAATGCATACCGAAAATTCGCAACTTATTGCAAAATAGTCATAAAATGAAATAAGTGCAATAGAAATTATTTTTGTTCCGAATCAGAAGGTTTTTTCTAATAAAAAAGAAATGAAGAAGAAAACAAAAAAGAGTAAATCACTTAAAAATAACTTTTGGGCAAATAGAAATTTTAAAGACTTAAGTTGATTAAAAAAAAACTCATTAAAAAAATTCAAGGAAAATATTAAAATAGAAATTAGGAAATTAATGGCAAAAAAAATGAGACAACCATGTTGACAAATTTTCTTCTCGAAAATTAGACGACAGCTTCACTTGCTTGTCATTATTACGTTCTATTAACTTGCCGTAATTACTATCGTAGGCTTCATGATATTGTGAACACTTGATCGGAAATACCTATCAGGCTAATCAAATTACAGTCAAGGGAAGCATCTAAAATTACAAAAATGCAAAAAAGAAAGAATCTTTAACAATTAATTATTGACGCTAATTATCTCGTATACGCGTTATCCAATAAGTTGGAATGGATTTAGCTAAAACAAACCCTTTTGTATCTCATTACGCTCCAATATTACTCGATCACATAAATATTTCACGAGCAATTTCAAAATATATGCAGGAAACAATATGGGAGAAAAATAATACTGTAATTTTATATTTTAATTAATTATTTTGTTATTGCTGATAAAATATACTGACTAAATATTTTTGATATATTTCATAATATATTTTTTATATTCGATGACTAAATTAAAATTTAGCAAAAAAATTCAATTATTCAAAAAAAAAAAAAAACATTGATAACATTCATCTAAAATTCAATTATTTTCATAACTAATAAAATTTCCACAGAAATTCAATTAATTTAGATCAGCATTTTCAAAAGAAATTAATTATTTAACGAAATTTTTATACAATTCTTCTCTATTTAAACAATTACTTTCACTAATAATAACATTTTTCATGGAAATTCAATTATTTAAAAAAAAAAAATTGATAAAATTCTTCGTTAGATTTCAATTATTTTCAATTTTTTAATGAAATTTCTCGATAGAATTTAATTATTTTCAAAAAGTTTTAAAAAATTCTGAGAAATTCAATTATTTAAAAAAAAATTTGAATGAAATTCTTCACAAGAAATAAATTATTTTTATGAATAATAATATTTTTCACGAGAATTCAATTATACAAACAAACAAAAAATTGAAAAAAATTCTTTGCAAAATTCAATTATTTTCATAAATAATTCTTTGAAAAGAAAATTTTTTTTTTTAATTTTTATTATTAAAGATAAATAACAAAATTATTCCCGAGAATGCAATTATTTTGAGGCATTTGAATAAAATTCTTTGAAAAATTCAATTATTTTCATAAATAATTCTTTGAAAAGAAAAAAATTTTTTTTTAAATTTTTATTATTAAAGATAAATAACAAAATTATTCCCGAGAATTCAATTATTTTAAGGCATTTGAATAAAATTCTTTGAAAAATTCAATTATTTTCATAAATAACAATATTCATTACAAGAATTTAATTATTTTTAAAAATAATAAATTTTTTCTTGAAAATTCAATTATTTTCATAAATAACAATATTCATCACAAAAATTCAATTATTTTTAAAAGTAATAAATTTTTTCTTGGAAATTCAATTATTTTTAAAAATTCTAATAAAATCATTTGCAAGAATTCAATTATTTTCAAAAATTTTAATAGAATTCATTGTAAACTTTAATTATTAAAAAAACTTTTTCGCAAATTCAATGATTTTCAGTATATACTATTTTCATAAAATTAATAAACAGTATTTAATTATTGAAAAAAATTTTTTTAAAAATCTTTGTAAGAATTCAATTATTTTTATGAATAATAACAATTTCTTAGGAATTCAATTATTTTTGAAAATTTTATTAAAATTCTTAGCAACTATTCAATTATTTTCAGAAATAATAAAATTCATCGCAGGATTTCAATTATTTACATAAATAATTCTTCGAAAGAATTCAATTATTATATAATTCTTTACATAATTCAATTATTTTTGTAAATATAACAATATTCATCACAAGAGATTTTAATTATTTTTAAACGTAATAAATTTCTTCTTGGAAATTCAATTATTTTAAAAAATTCTAATAAAATAGTTTGCAAGAATTCAATTATTTTCAACAAATTTTAATAGAATTCTTTGTAAAGTTTAATTATTTTAAAAAATTTTTCGCAATTCAATGATTTTCAATATCTACTGTTTTCATAAAATTTACAAACAGTATTCAATTATTTAAAATTTTTTTTGTAAAAATCTTTGCAAGAATTCAATTTTTTTTATGAATAATAAAAATTTCTTATGAATTCAATTATTTTTAAGAGTAATAAATTTCTTCTTGGAAATTCAATTATTTTAAAAAATTCTAATAAAATCGTTCGCAAGATTTCAATTATTATCAAAAATGTTAATAGAATTCTTTGTAAACTTTAATTATTTTTAAAAATTTTTTCTCAATTCAATAATTTTCAATATCTACTATTTTCATAATATTTACAAACACCCGTGTAGAAATGGTGGTCGGGTTCTAGTGGGGACCTCACCAGTTTACCCCATTTGAAAAAGGGCTCCAACTAGAGAAACTGGTGGGGCTCTAGTCGATTTTGTCACGCTCTAGTTGATAGGGCCCCGACTAGAAGTTCTAGTTCACTTCTACCGGTTTTAAAAATTATTATTTTTCAACTTAACTTATTTATAATTGAATTCTCCATTCATATTAACATTATTAATGATTGTTGCACACGAAAAATCTCGTGCCTATGAGGGTTCGAACCTTGGACCTTGGGGACACCAGACGGATACACATACCTCTCGGCCATGATAGGTTGGATAGACTTCCGCTTAAAGTACATCCCGTTTGGAAATTCCGCCATTTGTCCCTATCTCTAGTAGGGCTCTCGCTAGATTCTGACTAGAATCTCTAGTCGAGAAAAACTAGTCGGGTTCCAATCTAATTCTAGTTAGATGATTCTTACAAGCATTATTTATTAAAAAAGTTTGCATATTATTTGATTACTTAATTTTTTAATTATTTAAACAAAATCTTTTATTTATTAAGTAAATTAAAAAAGAATAAACCATAAATAAATATTAATTATGTGGATATAATTAATTTTTATTAACTAAATATTGTAATATATTATTTATTATTATATTATTTATTATTATTATTATTTATTAAAACAATTATAGTAAATATAAAAATATAAAAAGTAATGTAATAAATTAGTTATGTTTAATTTTTCAATAACGTTATAGATATAATTAATTCATAATATTTTGAATTTTAGGGAGTTATTATTCATCACTCTTATTTAACTCTGCATTCCTAATGATAGTTAATAATAATTAATTATGACATTATTGAAAAATTAAACATTACTAATTGCAGTGCTTTTTATATTTACTATAATTATTATAATTATATTATTCAATTTATTATTGTAATTATAATATTATAGCATCTTTTTAATTATTATTAAATACTTGCATTAATTGTGAAAAACATTTTAAAGTATAATTGCACATACATATCTTTTTAAAAAAAAATTATTTTTACGAATAATATTACAATATTTAGGTAATAAAAATTAGTTATACCCACATAATTAATATTTATTTATGTTTTATTCTTTAAATTTACATATTAAATAAAAGATTTTTATTTAATAAAATTGCTTTATTGGAATTTTTTGTAAAAATATTCTACAATATTTAAAATTTTGTTTAAAAAATGTTAAATAATTAAATAATATGCAAAATTTTTTAATAAATAATGCTAGTAAGTTTTTCTATCTATTAATCTGAATTATTTATATGTATAGAAAGATAATTTATGTATGTCATACTTGTACACTAGTTTGTCTAGTTTGAAATCGATAAGGTCCTAGTGAGTTTTTTCCAGTCTGAATTATCTAACTAGAATTTGATTGAAGCCCGACTAGTTTTTCTAGACTAGAGATTCTAGTCAGAATCTAGCGAGGTCCCTACTAGAGATAGGGACAAATGGGGAAATTTCTACACGGGCAGTATTCAATTATTTAAAACATTTTTTGTAAAAATCTTCGTAAGAATTGAATTCTTTTTATGAATAATAAAAATTTCTTAGGAATTTAATTATTTAAAAATTTTTATAAACTTTGCAAGATTTAAATTATTTTTATAAATATTTAAATTTTTTCATGAATAATAAAATTCGTTGTAGGAATTGAAAATATGAATTTTGTTATAAAATCTAATTTTAAAAAAGTAATTATTAAATGTGATTTTTAGGAATTTTTAAGGATGATGATTATGAATTGGAAATGAAAACTGAAGAGTCGAAAATGTATTTTTTGAAATTTATTTTTTAATATTAACGTAATAACTGTCTAGATACAGTAAAATACATTTTTTAGTTCACAATTATTTAAATTAACCTCTAATGAAAATTAGTGTTTTTAAAATAAGAATTTGCAAAGTATTTCCTGAAATCTTTGCCAAATGGTTTCTTCTTCTTGAGGTTTAATTTGATATTTATTTTAATTGTTTGTTTTGTTTAACTTCTCTGAACAGATGGAAATTAATTTTGAGATTCTCTGATCTGTTTCGTTAATAATACTATCTAACATAATGCATATTCTTTCAAATTTGCCATATTTAAGTATACTATCAATAAATTTAGTATGGCTTATTTTAGACTCTAAACTTTTTTCCTCAATGAAGGTTTTAATAGTATCATGACTCTTTTTTAGAAGTTCAAGTTTAGCCAGTGCATCAGAATTATCTGTTGAAGAAGCATTGATACTTTTGTAGATATTCTCCAATTTGGCTTTATTTTCGTTTAAAGTACTTGTATCGTTCGTTTGACAAAAACTATTGTTGTTTTCCTTGAACATGTCAAAGATTTTTTCCCCTAATTCAAGAAGTTGACTCATGGGCATCAATTCTTCATTGGTGTTTTGCAGGCAATTTTTTAATTGTGCTGAAATTGGGAAACTGATGTTCTGGTGAGATGATTTGGTTACGCTCTTGCAGGTTTTAATAGCTTGAATAATATCATCATTGGTATTAGGAGAAGGATTCTGATCAGATTGCGATTGCCTGAGGAAGGCTACACGATTGATATTACTCATTATATCCTGTATTAAAGATTTTGAATCATCGGATATATACGAATTTGACAAGAGATTCCTGTCTAATTTATATTTTATGTAATCAGAATTGACCGTAAAACGATTAACTTCGAGGGGTGCTTCTGTGATAATTATTGATATGCTTGGAAAAATATCTTTATAGCAGCCATTCAAGTATTCATCCAAAATATTTAAGAGATTTATCATATTTTCAGGATAGTCATATTTAATGTCACTAAAGTTGATAGCTAAAATAAATTTTAGATTTTCTACTTTTTTCGTCAAATGATAGAGATGAAAGGAATTGATTAATATTTGCATTTTATTTTCATTGTCCGAAAATTCAGCAGTATCCCAGATGTCCAAATTCATTAATTCTTGCCTTGTTGAGCTTATTTTTAACGGAATTGTAGTTTCTTGTTCTTGCAAGTTATTATTTTCCAATAAGTAATTAATTAGTGTACTTTTGCCACTTCTTCTGTAGCCTAGGATAATTGCCGCATTTTCACTTTGACTTTGAGTTGCTTCTTCCATTTTCTTTTCCGCTTTTTCGTAATGATTTTTCAATTGATTCATCTCTTCAGAACTAAAGGAACACCTTTCGCTTCTGATCATGGAAATTAGTAAGCAGATTATTGCTATTTTTATCATGATTGTTAACGGATATATTGTAACTTTTTCCAGTTGATATTTAAAGGTCTGAAAAGGATAATTACAGAATAAGGTGTTTTATTATTATTTATTATAGTATTTTAGTATTTTCAGCCTAAAAACAAAGATTATTTAAAACAAATGAATATTTAAATTATTTTCTTGATATATAGTTAAAAATATCGGTGTTACACTTCCCTTAACTCAAATAAATATTTGGTTTAAATAAAATTTTTCTGAGTTAAAAATTACATTCTAACTTTATGAATTATGAAACAATATTTTTATGTCTCCTGATTGTGATTTTATGAGCAGAATTAAAAATATTTAAAAATTGCATTTTTAAAATTTGAAAAAAATTGTTAGTAACGAGCGATTAGAAACTTAATAAAACTGTCTGGTCATAAAAATAATACATATGACTTTTATCAGTGCATTGCTTAGAATAATAAAATAGTTATTATTAATATTTTTGAAGGTTTAGACATGAACGACGATATTCTTTTACTTTTTTTGATTTTACAAAAAAAAATTGTATGTAGAATTAATATTGAATAAGAATTAATTTTTAAATTAGGTAAATATTTAATTTTAATTATTTTTCTTTCTTTACAGTAATTTTGAAAAATATTTAAATAGATACAAAATTTCGTTTACTTTTTTTTATATTTATTTATACTTTTATTTTAATAGATTTTCATTTTTACTTTTATTTTGAAAAATTTTGAACTTGAAATTGAAAATGAAAAAACTTTCAAAGTGAAAGTAAAAGTGAAAATAGAAGTTAAAGTGAAATTACGTAATCGACCCGAAATACTAATTTTTTAATCTGTAAATATTACTAATGGAATAATTCAAATAAATACAAATTAGTTCTTAAAAATTGTAAATGCTTACCGCCTTGGTGTCAAACTTATTTGTATATTTGATATACAGGAACAATCAGACGAACTTCAATATTTATTTTTTGTTTTAAACTGAATGCCACGTAACAGAAGTCTGAACTTTCGTCTTTATGTACTTCACTTATTTCTTAATTTTATGCACTGGTATCCAATAGAAAAACTACAGGTGCAACAAATATAGATTATTAGAAAAGAAAAATATTATTTATCAATAAAAAGATGTACTGCTGACCAAGAGATAAACTACAGGTGCAACATTTATAGATTATTAGAAAAGAAAAATATTATTTATCAATAAAAATAAAAAAGAAATAAAAAATAAAATAAATAAATAATAATAACAACTTAATTAATGGATTGACTGATTAGCAGACAAAATTAATTGGTTGTTTAATAAGTGAAGTGTTTGATACTTGAATAAGTGGACCAGAATTTCTTTTTTTTTCCTCTTTCTGAATAATAGACGTTGGACGTTCTATTTTAAATCCCTTTTGGCACCCGTTTTCAATATAATTATTCTTTCTTTTTATCTCTTTTTTCGAATCGTAATCGACGTATTGATCCTTTGCCTTTTCAGCACGTCGATATTGACCTCCGTTTAACCTATGAGCGAAATGATTGCATGCCTTGCTTGGCCCTCCCTATTTCTCCCGTGAATCGACCTGCAGATAAATTATGACGACATATCTCTTCCTCTAGTGCGATTTTTATAATTTATTTCCTCTCGACAAGAGACAAATTTTCTAAAGTTTACCTATTACAGGGTTGCTACAGGTCAGAGAATTCAGGGAAAAGTCAGGGAAATTAGAATTTGTCAGGGAAATCAGGAAAAAGTCAGGGGTTTTTATTAAAAGTACTAGAAAATATTAAATTTTTAGAATTTATAAAAAAATTTGGAATTTTTGTGTCTTCTTTTGTTTCCCTCATAAACTATAAATTGCCAAGAATTCTAATACAAAACCTTCAATTTTTTCTGTTTCTGACCAAAATTTCTTTTTAAATAACTTAATTTCGAATTTTAATTATTTTCATAAAAATTTAATAAAATCCTTGGCAAAATTTCAATTATTATCAAAATTTTTTCTCATTTTCCAAAAGAATAAAATTCAATTATTTAAACTAACTTTTAATAAAAATTTCAAAGGAATTCAATTATTTAAGAAATTTTAAGAAAATTCTTCACAAGAATTCAATTCTTTTCAAAAATAAAATTTTTCATAGAAATTCAATTATTTAATAAAAAAATTTTAATAAAATTCTTCGTTAGATTTCAGTTATTTTCAATTTTTCAATGAAATTTCTCGATAAAATTTAATTATTTTCAAAATTTTTTTTAAAATTCTGAAAAATTCAATTATTTAAAAAAATTTGAATAAAATTCTTTACAAGAAATGTATTATTTTTATAAATAATAATATTTTTCTCTGGAATTCAATTATTTTTGAAAATTTTAATAAAATTCTTGCAACTGTTCAATTATTTTTAAAAATAACAACATTTTTAACAGTAATTCAATTCTTTTTAAACATTTTAATAAAATTTTTCGCAATAATTCAATAATTTCCTTAAATAATAAAATTCTTCTCAGGAATTCAATTATTTTTTAAAATTAAAAAAAAAAATTCTTAACAACTATTCAATTATTTTCAGAAAAAATAAAAGTCATTACAGGAATTCAATTATCTTTAATACAACTTGACAGGAATTACTGAAAAATGTAATTATTCTTAAAAATTTAATTTCAATTCCTCGAAAAAATCAATTATTTAAAAAAATATTTTTTTAAATTCCTTGGAAGAATTCAATTATTTACAAAAATATTTGAATTTTTCACAGGAATTCAATTATTTTCAAATTTTTTAATAAAATTGTTCGAAAAAATTCAATTATTTTAAATATAATTTAAATTAAATTTTTTTGAAATAATTCAGTTTTTCTTTTAGATTTTAATCAAATTCTTTGCAAAATTCAATTATTTTCATAAATAACAATAATTATCACAAAAATTCAATTATTTTAAAAACTTCTAATACTTCGTTTGCAAGATTTCAATTATTTTCATTTTTTTAATGAAATTTTTGAATAGAATTTAATTGTTTTCAAAAAGTATAAAAAAAATTGTGAGAAATTCAATTATTTAAAAAAATTTGAATAAAATTCTTCACAGGAATTCAATTCTTTAAAAATTTTTTTAATAAATTTCGTTGCAAGAATTAAATTATTTTCATAAATAACAAAACTTACCGCAGGATTTAAATGATTTTTTATACAATTTTAAATAAACTGATAGAAAATTGCATTTATTCTTAAAATTATTTTTTCAATTCGCCGAAAGAATTTAATTATTTTAAAAAATTTTGATAAAATTCTACATGAAATTTTAATTATTTAATAAATTATTTATCTTTTTATTTAAATAATTGAATTCTCGTAGAATTTTCTAATAAAAATTGATTTAAAAATTAATTCCAGTTCAAGTTTTAGATAATAATTGAATTTTGGGTAAGTTAACTAATAACTGCAGTTTTTAGAAATAATTGATTTTTGTAAAGGTTTCAAATTAAAATCTTTGGTTTGAATTTTTCATATTTTTAATTAAAAATTTTATGGAACAATTTTTTTGCAAAAAGCTTAATCGAAAGTTTTTAAAATTATTTCAAGTTTTAATTTTCTAATTTATGTTTAATTGAAAAGCTAGTGTTAAATATCTTAGATACTTTGATTTTTTGCGTACAGTTCTTTGTAATACATTCTTTTATGTTTAAATATTTTTTCGGTTAGAAAAATTATTTCTAAAAAAATTTTTCCCTGCATTGATTCGGTAATTACTGTGTATGAAAAAAATTTTTTGCTTTATGAAAATAAATTCTATAAGTGGATATATGGAGATCGCACAAATCCGGAACTGTACAACACTCGGAACGAATATATATGTATGTGAGTGTATATCTAGAGGTCGATCTACTTCCTAAAATAAAATTTACGAGTACACTTCAATCGACCACTCGAAAAATTCTCCATAAAATGTAGCCACTCGTGATCTGTTCCATATAATTTGTGATAACGATGATTTCGAGTACATCGACCGAGCTTTAGGCATTTAATGTTACGTCACTTGTTAATTCTAGATTCGTTTCATCTTTGATAAGCAATAAAACTAGTTGTACATTAAATCTCGGACATTTAATATTTTCAAAATGAATGTTTTGTTTTTGTGATTTTAATAATTTATTGTTTTGCATTTATTCGATTTATTTCATTTACTTGATTTATTATTTTATTTATTTTCGAATGTTAATATTTGTAAATTTTTATATTCGATTTTATTTAGATTATTTTTTACTTTATTCACTATATTTACTTTTTCTTTTTATTCACTTTATGTTTTACTTTACTTACCGTATTTTTTATTTACTTGCTTTATTTAAAAGTAGAGAATGTATTTGGATTTATTTTATTATTTATATTCAGAGGATTTATTCAATATTGCAAAGAGATTTTTTTATTCAGCGCTGAGGGGAATAAATTTTATTTTAAAAATAGAATGACCGAAAATCAACAGAGTAGCGAAAAGTATTTTATGAGATATGATCGAGATTATTTTGCGGCACGTGCGGCAAGTTGGCGAATGAAACCTGTAGTGATTTTTTTTTTTTTTTTTTTGTGAAGTAACAGAAGGAATATTGCGTAGGCCATCAGCACGCTTCTAATCAAACGAGTCTTGAATATCTATTTAATTCTTTTCCATTTTTTCATGTGCAATAAAACATTCGTTTTAACATTAATGCCACAAACATCTTTTACCTCCCAAGATGCCATTTCAATCTTCTCCATTTATCTCAATTGGAATTTTTAACTTTTAGTTTTAACTTTTAGTTATCGTTTTTCATGACTTTCGATTTCTTTTGATGATACTTTTTCACTTGTACGGAGATAGTGGAATACAAAATCGTAAACATATTTTTTTTAATTTAAAAGTCCTACATTTTTGTTCGATTTTGTCTATTTTGGGATTAACATTTTTTTTTTTTTGTGAAAATATTTTTTACGAGGAAATTAAGAATGACTGCAAAGTGAAAGTAGTAAAATTTAGTTAAGTTGTCAGATAAAATGTTTTGGAATTATTCAGTTTTTTTAAAATACAAGATGTTTTTTTCTATTTTTATGAAAAGACGTAAAGCACCGTATGAGGGAGACATAAATTGTTTGTGTTTGACATACGCCTTTTTAATTAACCTTTTCTTTCTTAATTTAGAAATTTTCCCATCTTCCGAACATTCTTAATGGTACTGTACACTTTTATGCATCGTAAAACAAAAGATGTTAAAACACGCATAGAATCAAAATTACTGTGGTATTGGTCTTTTCGTACAAGTATAAAGAAATTGCCGTAGGAGCTAAAAATCTCCTTCCAAGGCCAACTGTACTCTAAACTATACACTTTACAGAACACAAAAGATGGTTCGAAAAATCAAAACGGGTAGAAAAATGGTCAAAAATGCGATTGCTAATAAAAGACGTTTTCTTAATTATTCAATCATGCTCGATTAGGATTCTTAATTTGGTTTCTAAAATTAATATTTATAGTGAAGATGTAAACTTGTTTTTGGATTTTTCAAAAATTTAGTAAAGATTTTGATGAATGTTTATAGTTTTCAGGGTTGCCTCAGGAAAAGTCAGGAAAGTCTAATTTAGCCACTTCTTTGGTAGAATGGTAAATGTTTCATCAATATTATGTGGATGATAACTGATAATTAAAAAAAAATCAAAAGTCTGGGCCTAAAACAATGTATTTTTTCCCTTAGTAATTAATAAAGTTCCGGTAAAATGCAAATGAAAGAGTAATTTTCCTGTCATCGATCCACTGTTTTTTTTGTTTCTTCCCACGCGGGACAAACAGATTGAGAAGCGGAGAGAGAGAGAGAGTACTGACACAAAATTGTGCTGGATTATCGGTTGAAGAAAAATGCAAACACGATACTTGAATGAACCTACGCACGCAGTCTTTCCTTTCCCGGTTTTTTGATTTTTGCCACACTTTTTAGCCTCTTTTGTTTTGCGCCTCCTATGTATATAAATAAGTATAGACATAAACGGACCTTCACCTACGCTTTTCTTTTTTTTCTTTTTACAAACTTCTCAGCTTCTCG